GGATTTTGATATTAATTTCCTGTTCATAAATAATACAGATTGCCATTGTTAATCCCAAAAATTGTCAATTTTTTTTCCTCCAAAGTCTTAACTGCTTATAGGACTAGCTGTGGATCACAGTTATTATTAGGTAAACACATAGCTCTTTGAGAAGACTAACGCTGTGTTCCATTTGTCATAGCCTTCGACAATGGTTGGTTTTAAATGTCAGCTCCTTGCTCTCTCAGCAGCTTTGGAGCAGTTCGGGGGATTGCATCAGAGGAGGAAGCAAAGCGCTCTCATCTCCACACTCAAACCTCAGTCCTATGTAAACAGTGCACTGCAGAGGGGTGCAGTGGGGGGGCTTATTGTAGAGAGGGGTGGTGTTGGGCCAGCTAAAAGTAAATTATGTTTGTGTCAACTTTGTTAACAATAAGCTGCAAAAATATATTGGATGAAAAGTTTGGGACCAATAGGTTGAAATAGAAAGAAAGCTGTCTTCCAGATGTTTTTGTTGCTTCTTGACACACACAAGGTTTAAAAACTTCATGTGGTAAAACATTTGTGATATGTTTCTATACACAGGTTCACTAAAGGACAGTAAGTGGATTCCCAGTTGAAAGCAGAAGCTACTAAGTGCCTTGTTGACTCCCAGCCTAGGTCTTGGAGTTGCTAAGTGCAGTTAAGGCCATGTGGATAGGGAGCACATTCATTTTGTCTGAGTAGCTGAAATGTAATATACAGTAGGAATAAGGTCTGTGGGCTGGAGAAGAGAAAAGGGTTTGGAAGGACACAATAAAGTGAGGTGATTGTTGCTGTATATTTCCTGGTGACGCAGAGGAGGCTGTTGTCACGGAGCCCTGAGGTGATGAGGCTGAGGTGGTGGCAGCTCAGAGAAGCCGGGACGATGTGATCAGCAGGTCTCTGAGTCTGTTGACATGTTGACCCTGTGTTCCCTGTGGTGCACTGTCTGCTCAGTCTGATAGAGGAAGGACAGTGGAAGAAGTTGAAGCATTACACAGCTTACACATTTTGTAAACATTAGTGAAATTAATTTGTGGATTATTCTATGGTCAAGTTTTTAGGTCTTAAACCTACTAGTCTAGTCTGCTAATAATTAGTTAGTCTGCAATGTAACAACAATATGTTGTGAATCAAAATACACACCATATACTGTGGACAAAATATAAATTTAAAGCATGTGTCATGTACTGTGCAGACAGCACTATTGTTATGGTTTCTGTCAGTCTTCCTGAAGGTGTAGTAACCGAACCTTCTTATTTTCTCCACCATTTACTTCTATTTTATTGGACTCTTTATTACAGGGTAAGGCAAAATTCCGTAAACTATAGGGTACTGTAACCTGCTATACAACACAAATGAATTGCTATATTAAGCAATGCATTTATATTGTGGCAGAAGTTTCACTTTAAATGAATATAATTCTATTTGGGACAGCTGCTATGCACAGGACTTGTGGTTTGTGCCCCTGCAGAAGTTGAGCCCACCTTTATTGATCAGATAATCTGTGAAAACTGCTGAGCGCACAGATCAGGCTAAAAGCACTGACTGTAATGGAGCAAACTTGTTCACAGCCCTCACTCCAGGGCTCTCTGTGCTCCTCCTCCTGGGACACTCTACAATATAGGCCTCACTGGAACCAAGCAACACACACAGACACCAAGGAGCTATACACATCTAAACACGTCAAACAAGTCTCTCCTCTTAATTCTAGTGATTTCAGTTCATATTTCTTCTGTATTTGCTGACTGTGACCTAATTGTAAAATTAACAGATCACTACTGTTAATTACAGACTAATCTACTACTACTCTCAATGCAAGATAAGCCTCTCTGGTTTATCTCTGCAGTGCCATTATAAAAACAAGTGCTTGGTCAGCAGCACACCGGGGGCACTTTGTGGTTGGTTTAGTTACTGTGAAAGTGCTGCCCTATAATAAAAGCATGTATAGAATCTGATAAAAACCATGGCTGCACTATATTGCATGAATTTATCAATGTGACATGTGATTAGAGTAGGCAGTATCTCCTCTATATTGCAAATCAAAATGCATGCAATTAATCTTTCAAAATTCATCACAGAGGTGTATCCTTTAGAGTTTTCAAGTAATCAGGAGGTAGAGAGGTGTTTCATATTTCCAGAAAGTTAGCAGCATAATTAAATTATGACATAACCACTATTGGCATGACACTAGCTTGCCACTGTGAATGATGGTGGTTGTGCGACCATTGGTCTAGATTGGCAGCCACACTCTTCTAAATCTGACTTTGAGGTAGTTGTGGCTGCATAATTAACTTAATCTGACTTGGAGTTCTTGAGTAATGCTTGTGTATTCATAGCAGTCTTATACATGGTGATTATTGTAAACTGTCATTACTGAGCTTAGGTCTTTTAATATTTGACTGTTGAGGAGAACTGTATTTGTTACCCAAGAAAATATAACAGAAAATGTATAGTCTACCTTAATTTGAAATGTATTTCCGTGTGTTGATGGAATCTTCCTAAAATAACCTTCTTTCTTCCCAAATTGTGAGTGAGTTTTTGCACATGGATTCAAATGATCATAATTGCTACATATTTTTAAATATTTAACATAGTCATAACATGTTTAACTTTTTATGTAACTGTTATGGGAACCTACTTTTTCAGGGTCAAATGAAGCTGGCCTCATGCTCTGCTGTCAGTGGGAAAAGTGCAGAGTTGCCATGGTGACACAGACAGATGTAACGACCCTTTTCATAAATTTATTAATTCACTAAATTATACAGCGTGCCGTGCATGCTGTGAATCTGTACATTTGAGCCACTGGGGAGTATCTTTGCTTTCTTCACATTACATAACTAACTACATATTGCTCTTTCTCCCTTCACTTTCATTTGTTTGTGCTGTGATTAAACCAGTCTGATGTCTGGAGGTGGTTAGGAGCAGTGTGACTTGTGGCGTTTTTCTGTTGTGACCTTTGAACCCTGACCTTATTGAACCTGAGTGGGAGGACAGTGGGAGTTCTCCGGAGGCCGACCCTACAGTTTGGGGTCAAGACACTGTTGGGTAGAAGACCTGAACTATGAGTACTTTTCCAACTTTGTTTATTAACTTTATTCATACTATATTCTGTGTCAGTCCCCTATTTCTGTTCCTTAGATAGAGGATTCTCTAATCTTACCACATTTTAAAAATCTTTTCTACCTATTATTATTTCTTTTATTTTAAGTATTTAAGAGATAGTATAGTTGTTAAAAATACATTTGTTCAAACACATGTTTTAGCAAATATTAACAGTATTGATGTTAGTATAATTAAGATGAAGTTTGGCTCCTCAACAAATGTATGTTTTAAACATTGATCTTTTTTGTTGTTTTTGAATACTAATTGGGTATGTAAAGAGTTGTATCTCTCTTTGGGCATTAGCAGATGGTGCACATGATTCATGGATGTGTTTATTAAAGTCCTGTTTACAAAAATAATTATAATTATAATATTACAATTATTGTTTAAATATTTGGAGAGAGTGTTTCAGATGTAGAAACTGGCAAATGTAGGCTTAGTATGGGGCTATGATCTAGCACACAGATAACTTTAAATTTAGGTCATTGTGACTTCAAAAACATGTTTTGTCAAACCCAGTGTGACTTTATTTGCTTTCATTATTGATGAGTCTAGCCTACATCAGAACAGCACAGTTACTGCAGCACTTAAAATATCACTGAAGACACACCTTTCTCATTGGCTTTGTTTAGTATGTACTATGTGTACATTTCACTTTTATTTAGTTTTAATATCTATACCACTGTTGCAGTGTTGTTGTTGTTCAGCACTTTAACAAGCTTTGGCTGTTTCAAATGTGCTCTACAAATAAATTTGATTTTGCACAAAACAAGTTGTTGACAGAACCTGTGTCACTAAATACAATATTTTGCTCTTCCGTGTCCAGCCACAGGGACCAAACATACCATAGTTGTTTTGCACCAGTCCCAAGAGCAGATGAATGAAGAACCTTGTAAAACATATTAATGGATTTTATTTTCCTATTTATATACAATAATCTTTAGGACTCAAAATCTAGAATATTTTGTTATTTTTACTATGGCAACTGTGCTACTTTTTCATGACTCTGAATATTACTGTGCTACATTCTGCACAGTGAGAGGCAGAGTTTATGGCTTCTAGTGTGAATTTGGGATCAACTCTTAGCCGTTTTGTAGATTTAAGGAGAGTGTGACTGATGTTTACAGCCTGAGATAAAGCCCTCCATCTTCAGAGCTGTGACAGAGGCACTGGGATGAGCAGGCAAGAGGAGGGGGCTAAAGGACTTGAGAAATACAAACACTATCCTTTCCCTCCACACAGGATCACACTGGACATCCGTTCTGACCACCCCCCACACACTTCCCCTATGCCCCTGCCTCCTGTGTGTGACCGAGCTGTAGCGTCACTTCAAACGACTACCATGACCCCCATCTGACTTGTATCACAGGGCTGTGTTTGATGCCTATTTTCAATGCAAAACTGGCTGTCTATTTAAGTCTATTTCTGTCATTTCAATTGTTGTTCCTGTCCAGTCCCTGCTGTGTTGACATGACATGTGCCTTCATTTCCTCTCACAGACATTCACGTTTGACTCCATCCATCCATCCATTTTCGTCCGCTTATCACGTTTGACTCTTCCAGTTAATTAATAAACATGTTTGCCTTAAACCAAAAGTTGTGTTTATAGTGATTTTAAGTGAAGGACAATTGATCTGTTACGTTGGCCTCTCACATTGCACAATTAGAGTGTATAGATTTTAAACACAGAAGAATATCAATATCAAGGACACTGATAGGTAGACACCAGCATTATTGTGTTTTGTTTTTCTTGACAATTTCTTTGGTTGTCATGTGGTGCATTTATAGATTTTTAAAGCTGATTCCCGCTTTTTGTTTTTGTACAGAATATTTTAGATAAATCTGTTCTACAGGATTTTCCCGTATTCTAACATCTTCTGCTTTTTCTTCTGCAGACTCTTACTCAGCAGCAGGCAGTGAGGGTAGCATCTCCACCTCTGTAGCATCGCTGCCTCCCCAGGCCTCAGGCAGCTCTGCACCCAGCTCCCCCAGCTCCAGGCGCTCAGTGAGCACCCTCAAGAAATGGCTTACAAACCCGGTTCGCAAACTCAGCGCCGGGGCCACATCTAAAGGGGAACGTCAGGTTCGAAAACTGGAGGGGAAGCCCCCACCTGTGCCCCCACACCCCATTCAGGATCTGGGTAGCCCTCCGCAACTGGATGAGAGTTTCACCATCCTCTCCATGACACATTCATTAGTAAGAAAGACTTTTGGTGCATTTTAGTACAAATATTTTCAAATACCATCAACATTGTATATTGTTTTTGAATACAATAAAATAAAGCTCATACTTATGTCATTCAGCACACAGTCTGGCACATTCAGGGATAAAAAAAAAACAACTACTTCTTATATTACAACCAGTGAAATTGGTATAATATCAAATGTATTTGTATAGCAGCCAAAACAGCCAAAGATTACCAAAGTGCTGAACAACATTTACAGTGGAATAAAAGCATGGTGTTGTTACAGTGTGCTGCAGTGAGGAGTATGTGTGATGGCAGGTGGCACAGATGTTACATAATAGGTTCTGTGCTGGTTCAGAACTGACACACATGCTCTGCTGTTCTGGAGAAGGCTCTGGTCTCTGTGCATTACATATACTGTATACATATAAACATAGATAGCCCAAAAGATTGGCCCTATAGATAGCATAATGTATATTTATTTGTTATAGGAGTGGAAAGATGGCCTGGCCAGCCCGGAGGACCTGTCACCGGCTACACTCCAGTCACCCAGCTACATCACTGACTCTCTGATTGGCTGCACATCCATACCAAACAACCAGGTATGCAATAAACAAATGGCATTGTTTAGCATTGGTTTCACACAAGTCATAAGGTAACAGTGCCGATGTGGATTCTGAAATCTTTTACTTTTAAAGGGCCCATTTTTTGCTCTGTTCTGATCTATGTTATAATGTTATTTTCTCATAAAAACATGCCTGGAGTTGTGTTTTGTTTGATTCACACATGTTTAACATACAAAATCTGCATATTTAGGCTAGTTCTCTCTCAAACAGAAAATATTCCACCTTGTGATATCTTGTGGTAAAACATGAAGTGCTCCATTGTGTTTTTAAAATCCATAAAGCTTCACTAGAATCATTTGTATAATTTCCCATCTGTGCTGAAAAAAGGGAAAAGGTAGCGCTTAACTAGAAAACTACCACTGCCATGACATTACAAAGTGGAACAGAGTACATTGAGCTTTGGAAATGTAGACAAACTAGTAATAAAGGGTTACTCAGACATGTGTGAATGAAACCAAACACAGCTTTAGGTATGTTTTTGAAGAGATAACATCATTATAACATGACTCACAATAGTAAATTTTGCATACTATAGGACCTTTAATGTTGTTACTGTTTCCTACAACTGGTCATTTTGAACAACAACACCATAATCAGCCTTAATAAAGCATGAACAAAGTATTGAATGAACAAATAGTTTATTAGGAATAATTTTAATTACTGAGTGAGGGTTAATTTTTAGGCAGGAATCAGTTTTAATTAATAAGTTGTTCATTTTTAATTAAATCTTTGATGCTTTCTTAAGGAAATAAAAAGTGTTGTTACTTAAAACAATAATCATAAAACCCACTCAAACAGCAGACAGCACAGTATTTAGCCCACCCTCTGAAATGCAGTCATCTCATTGCTCAATAGTGACTGAGTGCAAGATCAAATCTGCTGGATGTTGTGATCAGATGTAAAAGAATAAGTAGGAGATTTTCAAACACATAGTCCACATAAGAGCAATTCCCCTGGCACAGAGCACACATCTATGCAGCTGCAAAGTGTAAATGAAGAAAACATTTGCTCAGAGTGGATCGATGAGCCAGAGCCCCAGAGGCTAGAGCATGACAGAATCCTGCGTGATACATGTGGCATATTCAGCCCTCAACAAAAGGACATGCCTGCAGATACACAGAAAGGCACGAAAACTGCAGCACTGCTGAAAGATTACCCCATTTGTGCTTTAATTTTTACACCAAACGCTTGAGGAATGGCTTAGACGCATATCAAATTCTAGGAGTTTTTTTGCTGCGTATTATTCTTACAAATAACTAAATAAAAGCCTATTTTTAGATTATATTGTGCACATGCTTGTTGTTAAAGTCCCAGTGGTGTCTGGACTCAGCGACTCTAATTTGAATCTTAACAAAACATTAAGGGAAGGTAATGTTGGTTACATCATGTCGATGAGGTCAGTGTCGTGGTGTTTTTACTGTCAATTGTATCCCGTTAAAAGAGGTAGACAGCTTTAATTATGTAGGTTGGTTACCCCTCAGCTTTAGGCTCCAGTGTCCCAGCCCACCTCAGTGATCATGTGTTGCTTTTTTCAAGTTCAATGCCTGTAACATGATCTGGAAGCTATGTTTAGCCACCTTTGTGATTTGGCTTTGTGATCATATGTCAAAGGATACTGAGGTACGGCACTCATCATAATATTTACAAGACTTATACACAAATATTTCTCAGCTATGAAAACAGGAAATCATTGGCAGAAATAGTGGCAGGGTATTTTTCTGAAAGGATGACAAACCTAACAACAATAGGCTGTCAGATTTTATGACTATGATGTAACTAACTCAGTATTACATAGAATAAAAATGTTGATGTAACTATAAAGGAATATTCCTTCTATTTGTATTGCATACTCTAATATTAGTTTAATATTTGTTATTGTTAACCATTTGGACTTTTTCGCTGTCATGTTGTTAATTGGGCTGTGTGCCAACAATGGGCCATGTTATTTTAAACATGTTTACTATATTATTATTGTTGTTAGAGACTATTTAATATTGTAGTAAGTCTGAAAATTCATAAATGTATGAAGTAGATGCTGTGACATTATTGATCATGTCATGCACCTCACATACTCCCTAGCAAACTTGCACAAAGAATTACATTTGTCATTAATTATTTTAGAAACTACACAAATTTTGAGATGTTATGGCAGTTGATCCTTTTTATCTCAAAATAGCAAGGAGCAAAAACCTTTCTCACCATGTTTACTGTCTCAACATTTTAAAACTGCTGACTCTAAAACTATGTGGTATATTTGGAAAGCTTAAAATGCTGCATGTTAGTTTTTAGTTACAGTGTTGTCTGATTTTGCATGGGTTTCTGCTGAAAGAAAACAAAACTTCCATCAGTTGTGGGGGGATAGGGAGCGAGGGGATTCTTTTTCCTGTGGGGTTTGCCACGGCACATCTGGAAGTGATCAGGGAGCCAGTGAGACCTGTCAGCCAGACTGCAGTGCTCTGAGCAGGGCAGGACGTGCTGGGGGAGAGGGGGTCTTCAAGGAGCCTCTCTGTCTTCCTCTTCACAGCTTTACCTTGTTTTGTTTTTCTTTCCAACTTGTAACCATAGACACTGAATTATTATAGATTCGGTGAACAGCAGGTGATCTAGTTTAGGTTAAAATGTCCAAGCTATTTTCCACATGTTAACAAGTCTTTCTATTCATCTCTATTTATTTCTGTATATGATAACAGTCTGCCAGTGGGATTTGTGGTATTGTAGGTGCACTTTTGTCTATGTCTTTAAGCTGGGGAGGTTCTGCTTGATTTGGACAACAGGACACATGGATTTAGCTGAAGACAGATGGCTGCTCCCATAAGTTAACACAGTAAAGACAAAGTAAATAGCAATGGAGAACAACGGGGCTATATATAGACTCTGCTCAGACAAACTGCTAAGCTAAGACTGAGAAATAGAGGGACCATAAGTGTGCATATTGTCATCATAAAATAGGTTACACAAACATGAGCGTTGTGCGCAGCTGTGAGCCCTGTGTCCATTGAGTTAGTGATGATTTCAGGCTAGGACTTTTTGTGTACAATAACTCTAAATTTAAACCGGGACAGCCACAGGAAATCATATCAATTCCAGGAAAAAGGCTTGAAAAGGAGGTCATGAATATACCATAGGAACTTAATCGATCCGATCAGTTCAAGTCTGAGCCTCTATCTGCAATCAGTCACAAGTACTTACAGTATGAATTGTTATACTGGTGTGTGACCTAAAGCTGAACAGATCCACTTATATAAGGGTCTTGTTTCTTCCTATCTATTAATCAGTACAATACATCCAGTAAAAAAAAAAAAAAAAAGTTCCTTACAATGAATAATGTCCTAACTAGACTTCTTCTCTAAAACACAATTGTATTCATATGGAACTGTAAAAATGTTTAATGTGCATTGCTTTATATATGTTTTTGCACTATGTAACAATTCCTGGAATGCTCCATAATCTGGCTTTAAACGTAAACCTGTCTATCTCCATTAATACAAGTATGCAGAATACTGGCGGGACACCAGAAGAAGTTACAGGTCAGATCTGTGGAGAGGCGATCCCACCCACTTGAAGAATGCATGTCTTTTGATAATAAAAACTCCTGTTACTGATCAAATGCAAGATAGATATGTTTAATGCCATGCTGTAGAACTTTCCAGGCAAAACAGTAACATTTAATATTAACATTTACACATTGCAGGTGAACAAGCAGAAAAGTTTTATAGGTACATTTAAATGGATCTGATAGTGATAAGATACTATAACTTTCATATATTATTATTCATGTTAATGTTTCCCCTGCATTGTCCTCATTTGCATTTTAAATAACAATGTGTTAGTTAACTGTCAGACCAATCTCTGTCTGTGTTTTCATTTCTCAGAATTAAAAGAAACATTCATTCATTACACTGAAATAGCACTTTAATTGCCTGAGCCTGCAGCCCTTCTTTGTGTCCTTGAGCCCAGGAGCCTGTTGCTCTCCTCTGTCCATCTGATGTCTACCTCACGCGTCATTACCAACACTGACGATCTCCTTATCATTCGCTCTGTGCTCCATGTCGCCCAGCTCCCCCTGGTCACCGTGGCAACCTGCATCATTATCACCTCTATCAGCTTTTCCCATCACTTTCCTCTTTTGTGCACCGTGTTCACGTTTTTAGAATCTGATGATGAAAAAAAGCAAAAGGTCGCAGCTAAGATGATCACTTTATTAACGAATTATCCAAACTGAAAATATTAACATTATGACTCTGTTTTTGTTTTGTTTTTTTTGTTGGTAACTAGAAACTACATCGTCCTCATTCCATTGATCTTATGGCTTAGCACACTGTCTACTGACAATATGTACATGAATATTAAAGAAAATACAGTGAGCTTTGCACCAGTTTTTGTTTCATGTCGATAGGCCCATTAATTGCACTCGTTCAGATTACAATTAGATTTTATACTGTCGTATCACCTACCTCTAACCTTTCCTTGTACTTACTAAAGGCCCATTTAAGCACAATGACATCATATGTCACAAGGTATAGACCAATTATCATTTGATATTTGATTTTAATTCGATTCTATTTTTAGCTGCCTTCTTTCCATTTGGCAAAGGGTCCAATCAAATGCACTCATAACATTTACATTGTTTGGGGTTAATTCATGTACAATGTCCCTTTTAAATGCACTTATGATACTAAATAAATCAGGGTGTGTTTGTTTTATGTTTAGCAATAAAAAACTTAATACACTACTTCAGTACAATATAATACAATACAATACAACAGACTACAATACAATACTGGCCGCTGCCCTCCATCTGCACTTTACATGATGCTCTGAGTGCTGCCACTTACACTGTGACACAATAGGGCTCTGTTTGTTTTCCAGGATACTCAGTCTACAGTGGTCGGGCCTGAAGACAGCGCCTCAGTCATAATGGACGACACCTCAAGCCAGTCCTCTGCTCCGGCCGACACAGAGGAGGAGAGAAGAAGTGCCTTAGAGAAGAGCATGTAAGAATTTTAGCTATGATTTTCATCTTTAATATAAAGGGGTTTGTCTAATTTTCTTAATGATTTTGAAGAGATTTTCGGAAAAGTTTGTATTATTATTTTTTATCCATTATTTTCATAATTTAACAGAATATATGAAAATCCACAATTAAACAAATACTTTAATAATATGTACTAGTATAACCTCTATTGTATTGGGGTTTTTGGCAGAATTGATTGTTAGAATAGACTTTTCTGGCTTTCTAAGAACCACATTAGGAAACAGAGGCCTATAAAATGTGAGACTTGAACTTTACACAATGGATGTTGGGTTTGCCAGTGGCTACAACACTTTGTAACTAGAACAATTCTCCTTTTTCCTGTCTTTCTAGGTACGTGCTTAAGGAGCTCATTGAGACAGAGAAGCACTATGTAGCAGACCTGAGCTTCATAGTCGAGGTGAGTTCACTATAGAGTTGCTTTGTAAAACCTTATTACAACAAATCTCCCCAATTTTCCCTAATCCGCTCAGTGGTCTTTTAATCATAAAGAGATTTTAGCCCGACTATTCTCTTAAAGTTCAAATGTATAGTCGTAATCTAGTTGTAAAAATCTAACTGTTTTTCACTCTATTTCAGGGATACATGGCCACTATGAATGCCAAAGGGGTACCAGAGGACATGAAGGGAAAGGACAAGATTGTTTTTGGAAACATTCACCAAATATTTGACTGGCATAAAGAGTAAGTAAAGAGTACGCCTTATTACTAACTGTCTGTTTCTGCTTCACTTGTGTTCATTGCTCAAAACAAATATGACTGTGAGCTGTGTTTATGGAATAACAAGGGACAATGGGTCAAATATAAGCTAAGCGATTATTTGTGTCTTTTTCATGCAGCTACTTCCTGGGAGAGCTGGAGAAGTGTGTAGCAGAGCCAGAGAGACTGGCCCAACTTTTCATTAAACATGTAAGGGGAGCTTTTGCATAGACTCACAGTTGCCAGTCCAAGTGCTTGCTCTTTTTTTTTTTACATTAAGAGCCACCAGAGGATGTTTTTTCCTGTACTTTATAGACTGAATTTAGCTCAAACACTTACCCAAAGGCCTGAATTAATAAAATTGAATGACAATGATGATTCTTTCCTTGGTCTAAAAAGGTGAAAATTAGGCCAAAACTAGGATTACCCCAGGTGTAAAGTAGGACTAAACCAGTTCTATACCAGAAGTAAACCAGATCTTTTACATCACTTTTGGACTACAACACCACAAGTGGCCATACCACTGTGAGAATGCCCATTCTCGTGTGATCTCAAAAGTTTAGCTCGGTTCAGCCTGGTTAGTACTTGGATGGTTGAATGCCATCCAAGTACTAACCTAGAGCAGCAGTGGCTCTAGGGCGTACAGTGGTTACATGCAGCAAAACACTTCCGCCCCACCTAGTATGAATATGGTGTGTGTGTGTGTGTGTGTGTGTGATTAGTGGTGATTTTAGGACCCAGTGACACAGATTGTCAATCTTGCTTCAGGGCAGATGTGGCTACAATAGTAGTTTACCGTTGCCAAGTACAGAGTAAATTAATAATGCAGTGTAAAGTGTCCATGCATTGTTATTAATCTCATATTTTGACTGCAAAAAATACAGTAGTACAAGAGACACATACCATAGTTTGAGAACCACTACTCTGATCTTTATCTGTTCAGGTTGTGAAATCCAAATGACATCATTACTTTTCTTTTTCTCATGGCTTGTTACTGATACATTTTGATCTTTTTACTACTACGCAAGACTACGTACACAACACATTTCACTCATCACTGACCCATTTCCAAACTGCACTTCCCTCAGGAAACACCAAGGAACAAAACAGAGAATAACAGGAATTGGAAGAGTAATAATACACTTTAGATGTTCTCCACACAATACAGCTTCCTCATTGTGTCATTGTCTAAACTCTGTTTAAAACCATGTTATAAGCATATTGTTCAGGAGGTTTTACTTTGCAGAAAGATGTAAATTTGACTTCTGCCTATTAGTTAAGTGGTGGCACATGCACACCACACACATACAGAGTAATCTGACTAACTTGGCTGAGTTCATGTCTGGAGATAAAAGTGTGTGTTCGTGTGCATATTTGGCTACACACACACACACATTTTCTATGGAAGCAGGCTTTCAACAATCCAATAAGATGCAGCCCAGTGGATAATCAACTTAAAAAGCCTGCAGGGCAATAAAGCAACCTGTAACTGAATCTAAGTGTGGTGTCAAACTGTGAAAACAAGCAGACGGGGAACATTGGCCTAATGAAAAGCAGAAAGCACAAGCCGCTTTTAACTAGTGCGGTATTACAAATGAGCTATCTGCTAACACATGTAGCCAGGCTGTAGGGACTCTTTCAGTATCTTCTTACTACTATGATTTTTGTTTATTGTTTGCTACATTCATTTGCCACATTTTAGGTACAATTTCAGAAACAGGTGATCTTTTCATGCATCAATCACTATGTACAATGACATAAATAATGGAAAACATCCTGTGAGCCCTATTGTTGTGGGAGGGGAAATAATGATTGACCAGATTGGTCCTATAGATGAAAATCACTGAAAATAAGAGAGATTACAGTATGAGACTAAGGTTGTAAGTAAGTAACTTTCTTATTTTCTTTTTGTCTTAGCTTAGCACTAAATACTGTGTGAGGTTGACACATATTTGCATTTTAAAAAATTGACCAGCGACAATATAATCAAGGCCTGATGTGGTCACTAGGTTACAGAGCAGTGCAGCCTGTTACTAGGAACAGTTGAATTTCTCTTGCTCGTGTAGTCTTTGGTTACACATGCAGCTGGTAACCTAGGTGAATTATACATAACCTGATGCTACACCTAGCCCCTCACAGAGCCACAGGCTATGCCACATTTGTACTCCAGTGACAATTAGTCATAGAGGAGGCGCTAATCGCACACAGTTAGCTTCAAAGACATTGTGCTCTCAGAAAAATCATTATGGCCGTGCTGCTTTTCATCTCCCCACAGTAGACACAGACACTGCTCTTTGATTTTAACATTTCTGCCCAGTTTGTACATGGGGTCTTTCATTTATTTCTATAGCAACTAAATACAACACATTTTTCCTCATTACCTTGTTAACTGTGCTACTTTTTCACTTTATGTAAACATAAATAGGATTGATTTAGTTTTTCTTGTTCTACAGGAGAGACGTCTGCACATGTATGTGGTGTACTGTCAGAACAAACCCAAATCAGAGCACATTGTGTCTGAGTACATAGAAACTTATTTTGAGGTAAGCTAAATCATGTTTTTGCTATGTTTACACCATAAAACAGCAGTTACATGATTATTTTTTAAAACGCAAGATCAAATTGTATTTTTTTTGTCCAGTGCTTGAGATAGAATACCTTTGTGTTGTACAATTAAATCAAAAATTGGTTTGACACCTGCTATGAAGTCCCTCATAGTGTGTAACTTGATGAATGGCTCTGAATACATATTGACAGATTGATTAAGCACAGGTGACATAGTGTTTGCTCTGGGCAGAGGTTTTTCATTTGGTAAGTATGCATGGCTGTTTAATACTGTAGCTTTATACATGGTCTGACAGTGTCTTCCTGGTCATGTATACATCAGAATATAATCTGTTTTTTTCATCCGTTGTTCACTGGGAACGGAACACAATACAAACAATGCTGTCTGTCAGTGTCACATTAGCCATTAGCTGCTGTGTTTTGTGCTATAACTGTCATGTTGATGTGATGTTCTGACAGGAGCTCAGACTACAGCTGGGGCACAGGCTTCAGCTCAACGACCTTCTCATCAAACCTGTGCAGAGGATCATGAAGTACCAGCTGCTGCTCAAGGTACAGGCCCCGCCCTCCTTCAGACACATGCACACTGAGGGTCCGACTCTAAACATAGATCGGACACTTAATGTTCACCATAGGGCTGAAGATATGAGACATGCAATGAGATTTAAAAGTGTTGAATTAGGTTACTGATATATTGTTTTGATTGTCTGCTTGTTTGCTATATCATTCTGATCTTGTCAGGCAAGCAGATAACTAGAGTCTGAAAAATACATTACCAGTCAAATGTTTGGACACACCATCTCATTCAGTGCTTTCTTTTTCATTTTTTTCTCTATTTTCTATACTTTATGTACATATGTAAGATATCAAATCTGAAGCAAGATATATGGAATTATTCAGTAAAGGAAAAAAGTACATTAACAGTACTAAATATTTTTCGACAAAGCAAAGGGTGGCTAATTTGAGGGTTTGGTTATAAAATATTTTAAAACATATTTTGTAGATAACTTTTTCTTTGCTACATAGTTTCATCATCTTACTTCGTCATTTGATGTCTTCTATATGTATATAAAATGTATAAAGTAGTAAACATATAGATAAAACAATGAATGAGATGGAGATGGCAAGTCCAAACTATGGACTGGTAGTGCATTAACAGTGTAAATATTTATTAGATGATGATTTGTTGCATTGCATTCAGTCACAAACCTGTATGATTACATAGAAAGTAGAAATAGAAATAGAAAGTTAAAACCATACTTTGAAATATTATCCATTGAGATAAATAAATTTGATAAATATTATAGCCAAAGGATGTAATGAGAAAATATATTATGATAGAAATAAATTGTGATATACACAACCATACGTAGTTCAGCATAGTACTTGTACTTCTGTTCAACCACAACAATGTGAAAATAAAGGGCAAAAGATGTTAAAATTGGCAGCATCTAAGAAGCATTGTCTTTGAAGCTGGTCATAAAAAGCGATCTTGAGTAAAAGCCCTCACACAGATCGAACGTGCTGCCCTTTGGCTCTCCAATAAAGGATGGTTTAGGCGGTAAATTGTTCTCCAGATGTCCTTACCCACAATGCTCCAGTGACCATGCTGTGTTTATTTCAACAGGACTTCCTTAAGTATTACACCAAGGCTGGAATGGATACAGAGGATTTGGAGGTGGGTGACCCCCATTTCATAACCACCTAAACATATCATTTAAAGGGTTTAATCATGCATTGTATTGTTATTTCTCATGAAATGTTTTTTTACAGAAAGCAGTAGAAGTGATGTGCTTTGTGCCAAAACGTTGTAACGACATGATGAATGTGGGTCGTCTACAAGGCTTTGAGGTATTCCTTTGGACTTTTTCTGACGCTGTCCAAAACATTTCACATGCCAGCTTTGAAATGAGTGAAACCACGGTAACCACATGCTCTGTTTTGTTGGTATCTTTCTGTGGTGCCAGGGGAAGATCACAGCGCTGGGCAAACTGCTACAACAGGACACATTCACTGTGACAGAGCAGGACATTGGATTCCTCTCCAGAGCCAAAGAGAGACGGGTTTTCCTCTTCGAGCAGCTTGTCATCTTCAGTGAGCCTATTGACAAGAAGAAAGGCTTCTCTATACCGGGATACATCTTCAAAAGCAGTATAAAGGTAGCCCCAATTAGTTATTTTCAGTGCACATATTTAGTACTTGGTTTGGTGTGGTAGTATTTGTGGATCAGTCAGTCTAGTGGAAGTTTGTCATAAAAGTGTAAAAGTAAAGTTACAGGAATTTGCAGGAAAGTAATGATTTAAAACAGAATATCTTTACCTTCGAAAATTCCATCCAAAATGCAGAAAACATTAATTTAACAAAATAAAGGTGTTATTTTTATTTATTTGTCTGATCATAACTATTGTGCAATTTTGACTCTTAATGGTTGCTAAATAACCTCTAAATATATACAGTATGCTGCCTGTATCCAATGTAGCCCAAGTAAAATGATGAACTTCACCAAAATCTTGCCTTTAATTGTGCTTTAGTGAAATGTCTAATCTAACCTGTCACATGCCCATGTTGTGGTTTACATGTGTGTTTTTAACGAGCGGTTTGAAGGGAGACTGAGATGTGAGTCAGATGTGCTGTGTTGCAGGTGAGCTGCCTGGGGGTGGAGCCCATTGTGGATGGAGATGATGCACGCTTCGTCTTGACATCACGGAACCCAGATGGGAGTGTGGTGCGCTTCCAGCTCCAGGCCGCCTCCCCTGACATCTGCAGGGCCTGGGTCAACGACGTGGTTCAGATCTTAGAGACACAACGCAACTTCCTCAATGGTGGGTACTTGCCTGAGTTCAGGGTTAAGTAAGAACTTATATTAAATTAAGAATGGTTACTGTTACTATTTATATTACCTATACTATGGACCAAAGCAAGAAAAAAGAAAAAAATATGTGAAGAAGACCTTTTACCAAAACATTATCTCAATCAGCCATCTTAGTGTGCTATGCAGTTTTTTCATTTTCATTAGTGCCACCAAATGTCATCTATATATGTGATCTGTAGTGAAACCATTATGCATTTTATTACAGTCCATAATATTGGATTTGTATATGGTTCTTATAGGATATACATGACATTCAGCAACATTTTAAGACAAATTATAAATCTGCCAGAACACAAGCTTTCGTTCAAAACTGATTCTTTCTAATTAGGTTTTGAATGGAGGGCATTGATCAAGTCTCTCATTTTGTACTTCTTTTGTCTTCAGCCTTACAGTCTCCAATTGAGTACCAGCGCAGGGAGAGTAAATCTAACAGCCTGGGCCGCAGCATGAGACCCCCTCTGTCAGCGACCACCTCCCTGCGACCGCACTCCTCCGCCTCTATCGACCGACACAAACTGCCCTCTCTGCACTCCCACAACACATCTCTGCCCGCGCTCTACCTGCCAAGCCAGACCCAGGGTTCCGGGCTCAGCGAGGTGTTTGCTCTGCAGGAGGTACGACTCTTTACATGTTCTCCGTCTACAAAGAGCACTCAGCTACAGCATAAACTTTCTGTTCACAAGATGCTGCTCGGCCTGCTTTTATCGCTAAAGCAGAGTGGTATTTATGACCTGTTGTTTGCTTTGCAGCCCACTTTGGTCCAGCCGTGCACTGCAGACTCCCACACTGTTTCTCTGTCACATGTCCAGCTGGGCTTCACTGACCAGGCCAGTGTTCAAGCTGTGTCAAACGGGCTGTACACCCCCAACTCACAAAGTGCACAGGTACAGGCCTGCATGTGAAAACACAGATTCAGTGTGTTTAGTAGAATAGGTCACACGGGAGCATTGCATTAGGTTATGTTGTATTATATTGGTGTCCTGCAACCCAAAGTTACCTTTATCCTGAGCAGTCAGTGCAAACTGAGTTTATATGAAGAGCTTTTCCTCCCCCTAATGGTTAAAAGAGGAATAATATATCTTTTACCAAAGACACATGATTTAAGTAATTATCAAGTGTAATTTAGTATAGTTGATATAAATATGAAAATATACAATATACAAATGACTATGTTTCCTATTTTTCTTTCTTAATTAGATTGAAGGGCTGCTGAATATTTTACTTCCTGTTTTTGACTGTGCTTTGCCACTGGCTCATATTTCTCTATCCACAGTGCTGAAAGCTGGCAGCTTTTCTCTTCACTATTTACTCAGGCGCTTAGAGCTTGGCACTTAACTAAGAGGAAGTCCACTGGGCCAGACAGGGAAAAGAGATGCCTATCGAAGGCAGATAATGGCTTCCTGTACTTAATGTAAATAGATTCAAAATAAGAACTTTTTTAAAGCCCAAACCATACTCACAAATAGCTGATATAGCTCTGTTACTTCTTTTTAGTTTGTAATTTTTTTCTTTTCTTTACATTTTATTTATCATACATTTCGTGTTCCTTTTATCCTCAGCAGAGGGCAGGAGAGGGTTGTCGAAGAGGGCAGCTCTGCGATTCTGGGACTCCTGTGTCTGGACCTTCAGCAGGACGGAGACCCAGTAACTTGGCCCAGCTGACAGAAGACGAACTCTAGGAGTCCTGAATGCTGAAGAAAGTAGCTGGCTCCTGCTGCTGCACATGCAAGACTTTGATACTGTCTATTTATGTTGCTACGGCCGGGCTGGACCTCTACCAGGCTTAGCATTTGACGGGACAAATGCAGAAGTTCAAGTGACTGCTGCCCACTCCAAAAGGGGCCCAATCACTCAGTGTTACAAATATTTTTTTTGCTTTTTACTTTTTTAATTTTTTGAACTTTTTTCAAGGTCAAGGGGAATTTATTAATGAAGAAAATCCATTCCTGATTGGGGCGGTCACTGGAGCTATATATGTGTGAATATAATTTTGGGATGAATGTGTGAATGCAAATGTGGGTGATCCTGGGCCAGTTTTGGACATAATTTATTTTAAGTCTCAAAGCAAGGACAGACCCCACAGCAAATGCTTAGGCCTACTGTCATTCCCACATTGAGTCTAAACATTGTTTAGGTTTGACAGAAATAGGTAAAACAAATCACTTGATCCAAACCTGCCAAATTCATGTATATTTGTGCTCAGCTCAGAGAACTTTCTTGCCTTCGTGAGAGTTCAGTACACTCTCAGCCATTCTGTTTGACTTCCCTCCGTTTGATCCGGACAAAAAAGGAGCAAGGGAGCCCCCTGGAGGTTTTTTCTGAATATGACGTCACTTTGAAAATACTTGGCTCCTCTAGTAACTCCCAAGGAATTACAAGGTGCAATCAAAGGGACTGTATTACTCCAACATTACTGAGTTCTTCACATTTGTGGGTAAGGCCAAAGTTGTATTTCCCAGGTTTTATTTCATCAAAAATTATACTACTTGTGAATATTCACAACTAAAGCTCAAGACAGAGTTTACCATAATGCCGGTGCAATGCAATGCTAAGGTATTAAACCAGATGTCTGGGGATCTAAATAATGTGCAACATTAGTTAACCACATTACATTTCAAATGGCTGTGCCAAAACAGCTTCTTTTGCGTGTCTTTTATGTGTTAATGAAAGATTTCAGTGTCTAGAGAAAAGAAGAAGTATGAAAATATAATTGTTCCAATAACTGATGGACAGAACTCAATTACATTTTAGGCCAGTAGAGGTCCCCACAATATTCTGACTTCCAATTAAGTGTCTCATACAGCTTCACCAAAAACCCAAAGAATATTTCACTAAAAGTATTTTTGAAATCATTCACCATAAAATCAGGCAGTTTTGCATGTAACACAATGGAAAATCAATAATGAAACTCTGCAGACAGAGTTTTAGTTGATGCCATTTTTGATTGACTAGAAACTGTTGTATCATATCAAATAAAAAGTGACTTTTTTGGATATCAGAAAGTTTGTGTTTTATTGTATATGTTTATAAATAATATATCTACCTAACTGAAAGTTGGGACAAAGAGACAAACTTGCTTGAGCAACCATTTGGAGAAGCTTCAAACATTGGAGATAGGAGACTGGAGGATGAACAGACATCTGGTTGGCTGGCCCCTGAATAAAGGCTCTTTCTGGGCAGTAAAGCTGCAGCTGATCGTAACGTGCCTGTGAAATATGGAGGGATGCAGGGGCAGGGGGTATTAACTTTCACAAGGGTGCAAAATCAAAGGGAGTTCCTGTCACCACTGAGGGGGTCCCAACAACAGGGGTCCCATTCACAGAGGAGCTCTCCACTGTGCCCTCTGTTCCATCTGTTGATTCAGTCCTCTCTATTGGAGGAAAGAAAACAGTCATTAAAGCCCCATGACTGTGAACTTGATTGCAGAAGGTCTAGTAAATGGCTTTAGTATTGACAGAGAGGTGTGAACATCTTTGAACAGCCTACAGTGTTAGGGCTTCCTCCACACCTCCTCTGAATGCACTCATATTATCATTTAAATAAAATGTTAGATCTTCAGAAACTGCAGGAGGTCTTCACACATTTGGTCAAAGAGTTGTAAATAGTTAAAACCATTGAGTGCCCTTAAGTCTATGTACTTCCCATTCATTTGCTAGCACCTCAGGAAGAGATCAATACTTAAGACAATAGCTTTGACATGTATAATGTTTATTAAAATGTACATGCTGTCCATTTAAATTGTTAAAGACATTTGTACATAATTTACACAAAGAATCCTACAATATAACAAATGGTGCTTCACATTGCTCCTGAATGGCTCAGACATCTGTACATCAAAACACTTAAATCGCAAATAAATCTCTATTTTCAAAGACACTGGGTCTTTTTAGGCAAAATAAAATCTGAAAGAGCAGCCCCATGTCTTCTTTAGTCGATGAAGAAAATATTCTACTGCAGCAACTTTTAGCCACACTAAGGCATATATTTATTCTTAACTTTATACATAAACAAATATTTAAACAGCTGCCACATCCTTCACAAGGATCATATATTTACAGTGTTAATTGTTTAAACATTTTCAGTATTTTGGAAACAAATCTGGAAGGCATAGATCAGGTTCCAATGTGTAATAATGTCCAACACACACTTTGTGAGCAGTCTCTTATATTGTGCCGTCAAAGTGATTTGTTAAAAGTTTAGTGCAAACAGATGGCAGTAACTCTGGGTCATAGTCTTAAATAAATTGTTTCACTCTCTCTTGATGTTGCTTATCAGTGAGTCTGTGCTTTGAGATGAAGCTCCAGAGCGGCTCTTCCTGCTCTGGTGGGTCTTCACGTGTTTGGAGAGGTGGTCGCTCCTCATGAACCTCTTGCCGCACTGCTGGCAACCGAAGCGCTTCTCCCCGGTGTGTGTGCGCAGGTGCCTCTGCAGCTCGTCTGAGCGAGTGAAGCTCTTCCCACAGAAGAGCCAGTTACAGATGAAGGGTCTCTCTCCAGCATGCCAGCGCAGGTGTGCCTTTAAATGGGACGTCTTCTTGTACACTTTACCACACTCAGGGATGTGACAGATGTGCAGTCTCTTCTTCCCAAACTCCATGCCGCCGCCGTTAGTTTGGCAGTTTGGGCACTTGCACCTCCGGCAGCGCCGAGTAGAGCTCAGTAAACCTTTAGATGTGCCCTGCAGCAAAGCTGCGATCTGAGGCTGGTGTCCCAGGACCAGCTGCCTGCTCAGGGTGAAGGGGTGGTTGGGGGCAGAGGCGTTTGTTTGGGGCAGACTCCACCACTGCTGACCCTCCTCTACATGTCCCCCAGACAGGTGATGGCGACCAGAGGAGTTCTGCAGGAAGCTGGAGAAGTTCTGGGACACTGTATTGTGCTGAGAATAGTAGGAGGCATTGCTCTTGACTGGGGACAGCTCAAAGGAATAGGACGATGGTTCTGCTGGAGGGGTGAGAGGCAGTTCATGGTGATGGTGGTGAGGGTGGTGGTGGTGAGCCAGGCTGGTCTGCATGTGTCCGGGGAACTGCACCTTAGGAACAGTGAAGTGTGTCCCGAGCGCCGAGGCGGGCGTCATATCGTTGCTCCAGAGCTGGAACATCCCTGAGGCGGAGCTGACCGTGCCCTCATACGGAAATTGAGACCCCTCTGAACCCATGGTGCCCCCCACCTGCCACGCCTGGCTGCACGTGGTGGCCAGAAATGACAGGGCGTTGGGTGCTCCTTCAGGGGAGGAGCTGGGCGTCCTGTCCTGTAAAACCATGGAGGAATTTAGAATTACATTATAATGGCAATAAATGTTCAATAACTTTAGGAAAACAAACTAACTAACCAAAAATAATATTTTCCTTTTTTAACCTACATTTTTATATCTTAGGAAAATGTGTTTGAATTGATCTCAGCTTACGCACCATTTTACTTTCTCACAATAGACAAATAACCTATAGCCTACAAAATAATTATATTGTATTCCAAAATAAATATCAATTTATGTGTGTTATGTAATAATTAAAATGTAGACCTACATTCTTAGATTTCAAGATTATACAAAAACATATTAAACACAGCAGAAAGTAGAAGTTTTGGCTACTAACCTGTAAAAATGTGTGCAAAAAGTTGTCGGTTCTTTGAATAGTCAGAGCAGCCATCTGTGCTCCGCGCCTTCTCCAGACACCTGCGAGTCAAACCGCGCCGTCAGCCAATGGCGCCAAAAAGTCTTCAGCTATGAAAACAAGCGCAAACTCTTCACACTCGTCCGGAGGACAGTGGCCTGAGCTGGAACTAGGTAAACCTCTATATATCCGCTGCAGTGTATGTTATCGAGTCCACTTGTTAAATGGGATGTGTCCAGGCTGCTGGTGCGCGCAGATGTGTGTGCCGTCCGTAATCCGTGCGTTCATCTCCGAGGCGCTGTAGCTGCGTCTCTTTATAGAGGGCAAAGGCAGCTCTCTGCGGGGTCTCACTGATGCACGGAGCCAGTCAATAGACAGGAGATGTGAGGGCACGGGGAGGGGGCTAAGGTGAAGGGGAGGGCTACTCATAATTTCACTCAATTTCAACCAAATGCTGACCTCAAGAAGTGGTCCCGCCTCTGATTGTTCAGCTCTAAACACCGAAGATGTTTTAAGAAGCGTGCTGTAACATCTATGTCATGATATTAATTCATTGTGTCTCCTCTGTTAGGATTTAAGATCATTTCAAAGGTTTAATATTAGCTTAAGACGCTTCAGCAGAAAGCGTACACCAACAAAATGCTAACATTGTAAGATGGTAAAATGCGATGTTTAGCCAACTCAGTGAAATTAGTTTCTCTCAGGGATTGTCGTTTTCTTGCTTGCTATATGTGGAAATCTCACTATGAATATATTGATTTTTATTATGGCTACAGTAAGAGGAACCATTTTTTAGAGAATGAATTTTTCCCACAAGAGATAAAAAGAGCCATGTGCCTTAATAAAGTAGACTACACCTTTTTACAAAATCTGAAATAATTAATTTCATTTAATGTTAGCCCTATCTATCTCATTGTTATAATAATACACCTAAGAACTTGTTTGTTATAGTACTATATGGGGTGTGAGTTGTTCCTATGACTACTATGGCCAGGTTATAAACTCTGAAAAATGTTTTGCTTATCAAATATCTATTTGCACTTAAAATAGAGCTGGAGCATCAGCTTAAAGAGTATTTAATGTACTTTCTTCTCTTAGCTCTGTGGCAGGCTGCCCCCCGCATCTCTCCCTCACAAAGCTAATTGATAAAACTCAATCAAAGCAGGCCTTCTCACCAGTAGGCGATAAGTCACAGAGGCCCGCACTGTGTGACACTCACATGTCAGGGTTCAAGTGGAGGTCACTTTAGATGTGTTGCTTTAATGCAGATTGGGGGCTTAATCTCATTCTGTAAGTCTGCTCACCATTACAATGTTAAAGGTTTAAATCTGGGTTTCTCATGTTAATGCCTGGTTCCTGTCTTTAAAGGCCACTGCATGTTTCTCAGACTGTGATCTTTAAATAAACAGAGGTCAAACCGGAGACAACTTCAGCTGGGCCTTCATTAATACAAGTCATATAATTTATTTTAACACAGGATTGTAAGGGAGAGTAGGAGTTAAACCTATTGATAGACATTGTTCCAGAGAAGCTACTGTGGGAAAATTGAAAACTTAAAATAGGATATAGTTAATACTAAATTGCTGATATCACTTGCTGTATTTAATCCATACTGTTTTTGAAATAAAAGAGAATGAAAACATATATATTTAATGTAATTCAACAGTCATTGTTGATTATGCTCCACCCTAATAGGATATTGTATATTAGACCTAGCCTTTTGGAAAGATTCTGTAATCATTCATTAATATTAATTTTATGCATTATTGCTCTATAAATTATCCTCTTTAGTTTGTGAATAAATAGAACACAAGCTTCCTATTCTGGGAATGTGATCTTCAGTTGTTGTAATAATCAGTGCAGTGTAAATGCTTTGTAACGCCTCTGGCTTTTGGTGCAAAACAAACAATTTATGTGAGCAAAGCCTTCCGACTGAGCTCCAAATAAAACTGCATTGATTTCTAAATGATTCAAGGCCTCATGCAAATGTGAATAAATATGATGTAACCTACAGAACAATGCAGACAAGAGGAAGAGATGAAGATTTAGGCTGAAGGATGCTCCCTCTCAGAAGGCCAGAAGACATGGACCATCCTGTGATGCAGAAGTAGAGGTGCAGCATGTCTTTGGTTTATTATGGAGCAGAAGTTGTTAATTACCCTGATTCTTATTTCCTGTCCCCTCTCTCCCCCGCCCCTCCCCCTTACTGCCTCCCAGATGAGTGGCTTTGAAGTGCAAAGTACTCTCTCCTCACTTTGAACTGTGAAAACAATGCTCATGTGGTGCTGCTTACCTTCCCCATGTTAGCTCATTTAAATAGACCTGGATACAGCTTCTCCAGTTTTCAAGGGAAAACTCATTTCCAGAGAAAGAGGTCCCTGTGTTCATTAAACAGCTGTTGAGATGGCGGCTAATCACCTTCTTTGCCGTCACATTCGCATATTCATACATACACGATACACGCACACACACACGCACCACCGCCAATATGGAGACATACCTCAGATCTGACATGTGGGCAGACAGCAGAAAAACAAACATGTAAATAAAAAAAAAAAATTAAAAAAAAAAAATAATATATATATATATATATATATATATATATATATATATATATATATATATATATATATATATATATATATATATATATATATATATATATATATATATAATTATTATATTCAATTATATTTTATTCTGTTCTACACTGAGGGCTTGTGCTCTCCCAGTGTGAGGCTTACACATATTTACCATATTGTTATACTAATACATAGGGAATACATCTTCAAGGATTGTCTCAATGATGATTTTTAGACCATCAGAAATGTATTAAAACATGTGCGCCAGTGTTGAAGTATCATAGTGAAAAGTTGATGAATAGTGAAATTAACCAACAATTTTTTTCCAATCATTTATTCATTTTTTTTATTAAGTAATCTCGACTAGAGAGAAACAAAATCCATTTTTAGAAGTTTTATTAAAAGCTTTGTTGCAAATTCTTTCAATCTCTTCCCTGTACCTACACAGATTATTTTATTTATTTGTAGTGTGCAGGTTAAGAAGGTCTCTCCTCAGGTATTACAACGCAATTATAAATTCTTTTGTTTACAGTGCTGAGTGGAAGGATCAATATCCTAAACACATATATGCCCAAATTTATGTGGCCTACCAACCGGTAGCATTAGTGCAGCCATCATGTGAATCTCCAAAGCTGAACACTCTCATCAGAGCATATGCGAAAGGCTCAAGTCAAGCTGTTTTTATCATGCCTCGGAGGCAGTTTAAAGGCCCATACACATCACTAAATTGTCCCAGCTGTCTTGACCATCTGTAGAGAAAGGGCCGGGCATAGAGCCTTTGTACTGGTGGCCATGTCAAAAAGCCAATTTTACAACGGCGCACTCACTCTACGACCCGTGTGTGACAAATGAGGCCTAATGGATGAGACAGACAGCATGGAGGAGCCTGCTGCTGCTAACTCTTAACTAACAGGACAATATGGGCCTGCATTACCATAACACTCACTGTACTGGGCTAAAGAGCAACAATACCAGCTGGACTTTACTGGGCCACTCTTCTGCAGCTCATTCACAGTCTCTTTCCTGTCCCCCACTGTGTGACACTCATACTGACTCATTCATAGTACGCATGATACTAAATTTTCAAACTTGTGATATGCAAGAATATTCTCAGAACTCTATACTGTTTCTGATATATAGTGTTTATATTAGCTATACCACATGCTAATAAAAACACTCTTTTAGGTAATAGAATGTCAGTTTCAACACTAAGTGATAGTACTTACTTTATGTTACCATGTGGTCTTATAGTTCTGATAAAGCTCAAGATCATTCTAAAACTGTTCAGGAAAGGTGAATCTTAATCTAGTTTTGTTGCTGAGTTTAGTTGTGATTAGTATGTGATTAGATTTTCTATACTTTTGACAGCCTTTACTCATACTGCTGTAGGGCTGTAGGTCCTTAGTCTTTTAACAGATTAATCTGCCTGTTCCCTCCTTCTCTGTAAAAATATTTAGCTTGAACTCCTGTGCAGATGTAGTCTTGTAAGTGAGGTTTAGGTCAGTTAGAGATTCATCTTGAGCTTTTGCCACACCAAGATTTCGACCAAGATTTTCTTTCATTGACTATAACCCTAATCTGTGCAAATCATATGTGTACAAAAGTAACAGACTTTTCAACTAAATTTTTGAAAGGATACTGTGATATAATTAATACATCAGGGAAGAAGTACAGATGTGTTTTAATTACCTCTGAAACTGTCTCCAAGTATGAATAAGATCTGAAAACCTGTACAGATGAATGTTTCTTTTAGATCTTACATATTTCAGGTCATAGAGTCTAGATTAGTTTTTGTACAGTCAAATGAGTATGATTTACTGTATGTACTTACTTAAATTGATCTGAATATTTTGATTTGATCAGAACTGAAAAGAAATAAGAGGAGGAGGTAACAGAATAAACAGGGTCTACTAGCTCAAACATGTTTTATTTTCTTCATATTAATTATTGTTGTTACAACTTTTGAGCGTCAGTCAACTTACAGTGAATATGTTTCATTCATAAAAACGTCACAGATTACAATGAGGTGCTCTTTTGATTCTTCCTCTGTTCTCCAAGCTCACAGCGGGGTTTAAGCAGATCCCACCCCTGTAGTAGATTTTAGGTGTGGGAGCGGTGAAGAAGTGTAATTATTCCCTGATCTCATGTCCATTAGCATGTACAAAACCCCAAAATCTCCAGTCTTGGGCAAATGCGGGCAGACGGCATGCATCTCCACTTGTCAGAGAAAACTTTTATCAATATCAAGAGCACTTGAAGTTTGTTTGCATTTTGTTTTCCAGCACTCTTAACAACTTCAGAAGTCAGATCACAGGAGTGTGTGATCAAAGCGCTTCGTGGTTAGTTCTGGAAACACAGGAGTGCTACGCCATGCTTTGATACTCCACATCAATATTTCAATTCAACAATCACTTGACATGCACCATACTCCCAGAGACAGAGAGGAGAGAGAGA